GAGCAAGGACGCTACTAGGGGCTCCTGGCATCGCTACTAGGAGCAAGAACGCTACTAGGGGCTCCTGGCATCGCTACTAGGAGCAAGAACGCTGCAATGCTTCATTTCCAGGACTGGAGAGGTGGTGTTCGCAGGACAGCAGTCGACGCGTTAGCCCGTTTATTCGCAGGCGTGGTCTTCATGTTCAAGTTTGCAGTTTCTCCTGGCATGATGTGATGTTTCAGGTGGTTTGGCAAAGGACACCGTGCTGACCAAGCTTGTTGTGACTTGACAGTCAATCCAATCAACATTTCTTCATAGTTCTCCCATTTCAGTGCTGGATTGCTACTGTATTGCCGGCTTGCGTCCGTGCGCGCGCGCACTACTGTTTGTGCTAAGGCTTGCATTGAGGACCAAGATGCGGAGGTTCGACGCTCAACCGCGCGTACTTTAGTCACCATCTGCCCTGAAGGCAATCAGGCGGGAAGACCAGTGTTCGGACATCGGCCACTTCAATGGCCTTTTTTGCAACAATGTGTCCAGCGCCGTCGAGGCGACGCTGGCTGCCCTGGCGGGAAAGATCAAGGGCCCTTTGCGAGAGTTGCACGCCCTTGCCACAGAGGTGCGCGTGTTTTAGATTGCAGTTTGCAGGCACCACGTTCATAGATCTTTGAGCACGACCGCCCGCAACAAGAAGCATTCACCGGTGCATTTTTGCATAAAGCCACCCAGGTTTTGTGGACGGTTGCCAAGCCTGGAGATGCAAAAGTCATCAAGTTGCTGTCGCATTTGCTTCAGTCGCCCCTTTGCTGCATTTGGGTGGGCCGGTACCAAGTTGCACTGCTGCCGTTGCGTTTTCAGGAACGACGACCCTAGGGTCCGGCGACAAGCTGCCATGGGATTGGGCAAAATGGGCAAGGCGCTGAGGATAATCATGCTTTGCGTTTCACGTCTCCAACTTTACCAAGCGATGCTTGAGGATCATTCATTTGTGATTTTCTCTAGCTCACCCCTAGCTCAACCTTGTAACGGCTGGCTATTACAGTGGCCTTGTCATTCAGAGTGCCTGGATGCTGAGGAACTCCCAGCAAGGACAAGGAACATCCAAACAAGCATGCTGAGGTGGGTCTGACATTGGGCGAGCGGGTGCGAGGGCAACTTGTTTGGTATACTATACGAACCTCCTGCTCTTACATGCCTTCTAAACGTGCAGCTACGAAAGGTGGAAGGCGGCAGTGAGCCCAGGTGTGTATCGAAGCGTTGTGCACTGCTTTGGGCTGCTGCATGGACCTGCCCATTGTGGCGCCTTGGTTGTGTAGCGGCACAGTGCATTCATTTCTGTTTGTCGCCTTTGCACTTGGCGTCCAGTCTTAGCTACTGGAAGCTTTGCTCTTGGATCCTAGATTCTAGATCACCTAGGACCTGCAGTGGATTGCCGACGAGCCAAAGCGCCGTGAAGAAGAGGAGCTCAGGAGGCTTATGGAAGCACCTGAGCCAGCGCTTAGAGCATGATTTTTCTTGCCTTTGCTCTCGTATGAGCAGGATTCTGACCGGCTTGGTCTTGAGCCAAAAACCAAAAGTTTTTAACTTCGTGTAATGTTAAGTGCAAGGCGCAAGCAGAGCTTGAACAGCAGGAGGCTGATCAAACCAGTGAAGAGCAGGCCCGCACCAAAGCTGTTAAGGCATGTTACGGCACAGTTGGCTCACTTATACTGCTTGCCTCTGACAAGTAGGACATGTCATGCAGTAGCAATGCTGTGTAAGACGTAAGAATGGCGCGCCTGAGATGTAAGAGCGCTTCCAGGATTCGCAAGATGAAGCCGATGCTAACCAGGGTGATGCCAGTCCTGCAGAGCCAGTGATCGAGGCAGTTCTTTCCAAGCAGCTGGGCACCTCAGACAGCTCGTGGTGAGGCAAACCCCTTCCAAGAGCAACCGCCGCAACCGGAAGACGATGTCCAAGGTTTGGGGTTGCTGGAGAAGCTGCTGAGTCCAATATCCAGAAAGTACTGTAATCATATAGCGTCATATAACCATTGTTGCACAAGTAGAAGTGACCAAGGGGATAGCATCACTCTACAACAGCCCAAACGTTTGATATGCTGCTGCCACCAGTCTTGGCAGGCACCCAGGAACAAGGAGAGGAGCAGACGTTCCTTTCTTGGCATTTTATTCAGGTCGAGTGACAAACCCTTCAATGCTTTGCCTTGGGCATCGCAACTAGCTAGCAATGGACTAGGCTAGATCCGGCAAATTGTTAACAAGAGCCAATTGGCAAACGCTCATTTTTGCCTTTGGTTTGTTAGTCTATTTTGGTTTTAGCATTTGCCGGGGTGTTTTTAAACGGGATCCGTGCCTTCAAGGTCACAGCCGTCTGCTGAAAACCCTGAAGAAGACAGCCCTGTGGCAGGCAACTCAGCCAGCCTTGAGGCTACGCGGCTACGCGTATGGTGTGGATAGTCTCAGGCTTCACGAAATCTTATTTGTACACACGGCTTTTGCAAGGAAGGGTGTGATGAAGCTCTCGCACCTGGAGATCTTTTTCCACACCTTCGCTTTGTTGCTCAATTGAAGCGAGACTGTCCTGAAGAGAGGAAATTGCATATGGACACAGTCTTGGTCTCAGGATCTTCTGCCTGAGACAGAGAAGGAGAACCACTTGACAACCAGTTTGGTCAGAACAGTTCTTTACCCAATTATTTGGCATCATCATCATCTCAGCATTCTTGACCAACATTGGGTATCATGCAGGTGTGATTTGGGATTGCCAGCGCAACATGGTGCGTACGTAAGTTTTTTGCCGCCACGGCATGGCAATTTGCGTGAATGTTTGTGTGGTTGTGACATGTGAAGGACTGCGATCACTCAGTGCGATATGAAGCACTGTCCTCGCTGGAAAAGATCATTGACCGGGCTCGCGACGACATACCTTTAGAACTGTTTTGTTTGCTTGGGGCTTGGGGAGCTTGAATTCCCTCCTGCTTGTGCAGGGAGATCGCCGTGTTTTGGGTGCTTTGCTAGTTGCATTGCGGGATCCTGATCGTGAGGCGGGATAACATTGCTGTGGCTATTCTTTGCTGTTGGCCCAGAGCTCTGCTTCATTCCAGGTATGCTGCAAAGCAGTTGAAGCCATCTCGGCCCTCTACGAGTTTGTGCCTGGTGATCTGACTGTTGTGGCACGACTGGAGTTAAGTTTGCTCAGCATAAGTCTTTGGAAGCCGCGTTGGTCCAGAACCGACCTCTTGTTCCAATACACACAAATAAGGAACGTGTTATCAAGAAGTGTTCGACATGAGGCTATGTATATATGTATATATATATATCTACGTTTATATCTACTCGGTGTATGTGTATACAGAATTATATACTGTATATATATGTGGATTATCGACTCCGCCCGCAGACGAATTGACCTCCGAAGACAATTCTCAAGACGAATTCCGCGAAGACGAATTCCCCCCCCAGAGACGATTTACCCCCCGAAGACGAATTCCGCGAAGACGAGCTCCCTTGCCCTCCGAAGACGAATCCCGAAGACGAATTCCATCAAATTCCCATCGAAAAGGAATCGATTAAATCAAATGACTTACTACTACCGCTACTTTTACGACTACTACCACTGCTACTACCACTACTAGAAGTACTACTAGTACTAGTTCTAGTTCTAGTTCTAGCGCTAGTACTAGTACTATTACTATATATAGGCTACTGGCTACTACTACCACTACCACTACTACTACTACTACCACTACTACTACTACTACCACTACTACTACTTCTACGACTACTACTACTACTACTGACAAACTACTACTACTACTACTACTCCTCCTGCTACTACTACTACTACTACTACAACGACTACGACTACGACTACGACGACGACGACGACTACTACTACTGACTACTAACTACTAACTGCTAACTACGAACTACTAACTACTTACTTCTTACTACTTACTACTTACAACTTACTAGTTTCTACATAC